TGGCTCTAAGGTTAATATTATGGATATCTTCTTTCTTATTGAAATTATGTATATTTTTACGGGCATATAAAATATTTGAATAAATGTACTGTGATGCCACCGTCATGATGCCAGTGTCTTTAAACTTTTTTCTACAAGAAACCCGTACAGCCTAGACGGTACACAGAACGTATCGCTCGTTTTTGCAATACAAATATGGTTTGAATATCTCTCGCTTTACCCCACATGAGAATCCCGTAGGACATTATACTATGGAAGTAACTAAAGTAAACTAATCTAGCAAAACTAACATCGGTAAGCTCACGTATTCTGTGGACTGCGTATGCATTAATTTGTGCCCTTCGAGAGCTACTCGCGATCTGTGACTACCTACGCTGTTGCCCATGGATTCAGGTATGGGGGAGAGTATAGAATACGAGACCAGCAACTAAATTGGACCAGCCTCATATGAGATATCTCATTTTTGTAATTGTTTTATTGGCATAACCCAATGACAGGCGTCTTCATTGTATATTGGCCATGTTGTGTTTTGGTGTGATATTGAACGTCAGCGTGTTGTTTTGAAAATTATTTTTTTGTTATTTTTAATATAAATTCAATAGATCCGTGCTAAGAGTGTAGTTAACTTAAAGGTATGCATACAGTTGTAATATACAGCATAGAAGTGTAATTTATCTATAATCTAATTACATGAAACGATTGCCGGCTACGATTTATAGGCTATATTTTATCTAATAAAAATCGAAATCTAATTTGTTTTTATAATATTATCATACTCTTGGTTAAAATTGACCAAGAGTGTGAAAATATTGAAAAAACATATTTGATTTTGCTGATTACAAGATTAGATCAGATTTCAAAGATAATGAATGTGCTAAATATTAAAGAAATAATCATGATTAAGACCTCCTAAATTAATTGAACAGTTTGCGTGGTTTCATAATCGGAATCAAGAATCATGTAGTATGCAAAATCCTGACATTTGCGATAATTGTCTAATTTGACGAGCTCTTTTTTTTTATTAGCAGGTTTGTTATTGTGTATATTATTTTATGTTGCGTTGTAATGTTTTATTTGTTTTACATCAGAGACAATTGAAGTTCAATTTAGCGACTTCATGGTCCAAATCACAGAACCAGTCGGCTAAATTGGGACAAAACTCGGATGTCACATTTTGTTGATTTTTTAAATGTCTATTAAAATTTATGTATGGAGGAATATAAACATTACCAAGGCCACTAAAATCCAGCTGGTCCGAACACTAGTTTTCCCCATATTTCTGTACGCTGCATAGACATGGGCGTTCCGTGAAATCGAGAAGAAGAAGATAGACGCTCTGGAAATGTGATGCTGGAGAAGAATGCTTGGGATATCGTGGACAGACTTTCGTTCAAACGCCTCCATACTCCAAGAACTCGGCATCAAACAGCGTCGGTCTACTGTGACACAAACTCGCATCCTAAAATTTTTCAGTCACGTCTCAAGACGGAATTTTGACTCCATAGAGCGTTTTGTTGTGCAGGGCAGAGTGGAGGGCACTAGATTCGATGGACCGATCAAATAAAATCTGCAGTGTGTGGTCCTTTACATGAGTGCACGTGGGAGTCCACTAACAGAGAGAGATGGCGAAATGTCGTGAGGCAAGCCACATCAGCCGTTAACAAACGTAGGTACTCCGTGATGACCACGACCACTCTGTCAAGAGTGATACGAAAGAGAAGAAAATAATTTATATCAATTAATGCTGCATAAATACAAAGTCTAATCATTATTTTTTCATTTCATACAATAGATAATAAATAGATAATCTTTATTTCATAGGTAAGCATTATTACACTTGAAATCGTCACAATAGTTAAACTCTACCGCTCATTCGTAAGGGAGATTCCCCTGAGAAGAATGAGCAAGAAACTCTAGGGGTTGCTCTTTGTGAATAACATTTACAATATTTTTTATTTTATTTGAAACATCAATTTCTTTTTTTTCATCAATTTCAAATTCTTTTTATATAGGTATCTTACAAACTTTTACTGTACTTGCTCCAACGTAAGAATATATTTATTCTCATGGGGAGACCAGACCACTGACATTGGTCTCGAGGATGCTGTGAACCAGTACCGTGTATAACGTGCGCGTTGCTGCTGCAGTAAGTAGCACAGCGTTACGGATATGAACCCCAGCCTCTGGTACGCACATTTTGTGACATTCCTAATATGAGTCCGAAACGTTAGACTGATGTCAAAAGTAACTCCGAGATCACGGACCTCGTTAACGCGAACCATCATCTGACCGCCAATTAGATAGATGTAGTGAACGGGCAACGGGGAGCACGAAAAGGTCGTATCTCGCATTTACCGTTATTAAAATGTGTAGCCTTTAGGTGAAGTATGCGAAGGTGACCATAAATATTATGAGGGTGCAGTACAACAACGGGTAGCGCTTCCGACGTGTCCGCTGAAGTTTTCATACCATTCTGAGGAAGCGGGTAGTCTCACTTTGGTGACGTATGTATGCGTGTGTCCCAACAACATTCTGACTGTTGTAACACACAAAATAAACTGCCCCATCCAAGTCTATTGGATGGAACTTTACGTGGCTCTTTAGATTAAGTTCTTTGTTTTGTTTTTACTTACTTACTTCATTTTGCATGCTAAATTTAATTTTATTTATTTTGTTATTTTTTGACGATTGGATTAAAAAAATATATTTAATGTAATTATGTCAAATTCTAATTCAATAATAAATCAAAAATTTGACAATTATTTGTTTTAAATTTTTAAGTAAGTACGTAATTGTATATGGATCCGAAATAAATAATTTGATTTTATTTCACAAAACAGATTTTAAATTCACAGCACGAAATAAAAAACAATGGAAGGCCCTTAAGACTCGATTACTATGAGAACTATTGTCGCTAAAACTCACACTATCATTATATTAAACACTACGTAAATAATAATTTAGAAAGATATAACAAATTCTGGACTGTTAATATTAATTTAAACTTTACTCAGTTGGCATATCGTTAAAAGTTCTTTACTTTATATTGAAATTTCTTCATGACGTGAACGCTGACATCGAGCGGTAATAGCTGAAAGACGACTAGGATAATTCTGGAAATTCTTGTTTCAGATGTTACCATATTGGAGCATTGTACCAGCATTGCTCCTACTCCTATGCAAAGAAATCTCCCCCTACTATGATGATAAAGCTACAAAAACAATCTGCCCCAGCGGTTTCGATAACGCCAGGATTGCGCTCAACCCTGTTGAGCTCCTTCATATATGCTATAAATTAAAAGGACCCGAACTTTTCGAAGACAAATTCACAGACTGCGCTGGGAACTTAATGACCTCCAGGGTGTACCATAGTGTAGATTTTCCAATACAAAGTGGTAAGTTATTCTGGACTGATTACAAATCTCTGTACCCTGGAGGACCATTCATAGACTGGTCATATACAAACTCTATGGGAGTTATGCTACCGCCACATTACAACGTAAGTTATGAACCAGGTTTAGCGTCGGTCGAGGAGGAACTGTGTATCGTTGTAGACTCAGATAGTAATTTCGAAGCTGTGAAGTGTAATCAGAAGCATTACAGGTACTGTGTTGTGTTACCTCTCGAAAATAAAGAGAAAGATATGGACAGAGATGGGTGTGAGGACAATTACTGGAGGTTTTGGGGTCCGAGACCTACTTGCTTGACTAGTGTGACTCTTCATGAGAGCAAAACCGTGACCTGGGAACAAGCGGAGAAATTGTGTGTTAAAAGAAAAGGAAGCCTCTTAAGTACAGGATGGATATATGCGAGCAGTTCATTGTTTCCTCCTGCTATTTTACCCCTTGGTGTTACGCTGAGCGCTGACAATACAACACTTGAGATTGTTAACGATAACATTAAGGTGAGTTACCTACATATTAGAAACAATCAATTGACCCGATTTGATGAGTTGATTCTTTGTATCGCTAATATTTTATATATAATATTATATATAAAATATTATATATATAGCTATAATTTTCCGACTGTTAAACAAATGGCAATGAAATACATTCAATTTAGGATTAAATATCGAAGAACCATAGTATAATAATTAAGAAAAGTGCAGAGAACATTAAGAAATTCTATAATTGCATTTCAGCCCTTTCCTTTTGTCGAGGACAGACCCTCTTTATAGTTTTTAGTAATTAGTCTATGTTTAGCTCTTTGTCTCTGTCCTTTTTTATACTCTGTGCTTGCTTTTTCTTCTGTTTCTCTTTACTGTCTGTTTCCTCTTTAATAATACACCTTTTTCCTTCCTAAACCGCCGTTTCCTTCGCAGTCCTCGATACCTTTTGTGATGTCTTTGGTTCAGATGAGGTAATTCAAACTTTCGACCATTATGTAGCAGCAGAGCGAGCGTAGCGAAAGGGTTCGTCCAGGGAAGTACTGCCACCTTACCTATTTCTGCCGCCAAGCAGTAATGTCAGCATTACTGTGTTCCGGTCTTGAAGGGAACGGGTGCTAGCGAAATTACAAGCACATGAGACTTGTCAACTTACATCTCAGGGTGACAGGCACACCTCATCCTGATACATGGCAAGTCCCTTGTGCCTGTAATTTCAACAACTACCCTGGACCTACCCTTACCTATTTCTGCCGCCAAGCAGTAATGTCAGCATTACTGTGTTCCGGTCTTGAAGGGAAAGTGTGCTAGTGAAATTACAAGCACATGAGACTTGTCAACTTACATCTCAGGGTGACAGGCACAGTGGCAGTGCCCCTCAGATCTTTGCGATTTAAAGCTCTGATGACACTGCAATTGTTATGGACAGGCGTGTAGCTTACTATCAAGCTCACTTGTTCGTTCAGTCAATTGATATTATAAAAAAAACTTGTCAAACATTCAAGGATGCGGATGCTGACCTTTCTGAAAATTAATTTACATCGGTTTGTTTCTCACATTCCTCTATTTTACTAATTGTGTGAACATAAATTTAAAGATCTAAATTTTTTATATTGACTCGGTAAGTAATGTTGCGGTTTTTGATTAATTTGTGCATTATAATATTTGTATACGAAATAGTGTACAAAATTTCACACTTTATAATATAAAAGTAACGGGACTTACTCACGTAGTATTTTAGTCGGAAGCGGTCCGACTAGTTTCGACCATACCATACCATAATCGATGGTCTTCTGAATGTAACGTCTTAGCGTAACAAGTTTCCAATCTACGGACAGCAGTAGCGAATTGATCCTACCGGAAATCGAACCTGGGATCTCAGTATCCAGCGCCCACAATGTAAACCGTTAGGCCGCCGAGGGAAACAAACCGTTGGTTTGTTTTGAAAGAACATAGGTATACGCTAGAGCGTTTAGATCCAAAAAAATATTTTCGAAAACAAATTTTTTTTGGAAAAGGCCATCGGTAAAAGATAAATTTATTATAGTGTGTAAGTGGATGACAGATATAAGGGACACACAGTTTGTGCATTTTAGTTGTTATACTGTCGTAGCCACTGATTTTGTGTTTTTATCAACATAATAATGTTACTTAAATGTGTCCTTTTCGTAAAACGGGTTCGTTAAGGTAGGCGTCCACAGATCCGCAGCACACGCATCTGACGGATCGTATTATAGGGATTTTAGTATTCTTTGTATAGAAGTTCATACAACTACGTCCGCTGATCCGCATCGCACAGACCGCACGCACCGGCCTGTCGGTAATGCCGAAGCAGTTGCTCGGAGGGGCAACTTTTCCGATGCACGCCGACGACGTCATACGGATTGCGTATCAGAGGACGCATCCAGCGCGCCCGCCGCCGCGTTGCGATCTCTTCTTAAATATGTCACGTATCCAAATATCATGTTCCTTTTCTTCTCTTCTTTCTTCTTCTGCCAACAAACAAGCCACCGCAACAAATTGTTCTTCATTTCTTTCCAAATCAATTGTTCCGCATACACAAGATACACTCGTCCGCTCGTTACGAAAAGTGGCGACGGCAATCCGATAGCTAGTAGTTACGTCAGCAATCCGATAGCTGCGGATACAGTGGACGCACTGCCACAAACGGAGCCGTTTGATGCGATCCGTCCGATGCGTGGCTGCGGATCTGTGGACACCTACCTTTAAGAAATGATATATGGAAATTTTTATTTAGAGAATTAGGTGTAAATGTTATGTGGTTTTGGAACTAATTATCTTTATTTGTCAACTCGGTAATATGATCATTAATTTAAAATATTGCAAATGTCGACTGGGTTTGAGTATGCCATGTTATTAAGTCGTATATGTTTAACAACGCCTTCAATCTATAGACGAGAACATTCACATCAACTATATGTTCCAAGCAAAACACAATATCAACAGAGATAGTGTTTTGTTTTAGTGTTCAATTTTGTCAAAGAATATCAGTACCGCAGTACCCTTCGAGAACTAATTACGATCGGTGAGTACTACGCTGTTGTCCATGGACTCTGTGGCAGTGAGCTCGCTAGAGTTCGCCAGAAAGTGAAGAAATATATTTCTCACAGATTGTGCTACGGAATAAAAAGTCGTTAAGAACCAAAGACAAAAATTTGCAACAAGTCCATAGAAAAATTCGTAAGGTGCCCTGGTTCGTTCCGTAGCTAGCGTCAGACACGGTTTGCTGGAAGACGTCGGTTCGAATCCGGCCGGATCGAAGGAATTTTTTCTAAGTGTTCGTTATTAATAATTGAACTGCCTCCGTGGCCGAACAGGTACCATGCTGGAATGCCAGGCAGAGGTCCCGGGTTCGATTCCCAGGTCGAGAGAAATGTTTGTTTGGTCTAAATTCATTTCTCTCGTGAGTTTGGGTGTAATTCGTTTATGTGTGTGTCCATGGCACCCGCGATACGGGATTTCCCAAGTGCAGGGCTATGAGTGTGTTCGCGTTAATTATAACAAACTAGTGGAGCAATCCCACAAAAAAATTATTACATATCATGATAGTAAAATTTCGTGACATTCAAAAAAAAATCTTTGGTTTTAAAATTTATGTCTTTTCAGATCCTTCCATCAGAATTTGGCATCAAAAACAATAAGATTTCCAATGCGCGTTTGGGGGCCATGGTCCACAACTTCTGCTTCATGGTGAACAGCAGCCAAAAATTCAGCAACATAATTTGCGAAAGACCTATCAACCTAAGACCCATCAGTATGAATGTCTCTATTAACTCGTAAGTACATACCAGATCCAGATCATTATTAGAGCAAAAGACAAAATATTTCTAAATATAAACTGCCTCCGTGGCCGAACGGTTACCGGAAGAAATAGTTGTATGGCCTACAATTATTTCTCTCGTGAGTTTGGGTGTAATTTGTGGTTGTCTTTGTGTGTGTCCATAGCATCCACGACACAGGGTTTCCCTAGTGCGGGGCTATGTTGAGTGTGTGCGTGTGTGCGTTATTATAAACCAATTTCGAGCTCAATATTACCTAAACTCTATTGGAATCACACCTACGTTCCAACTATTATTAAAATTGGTTAACCGAAAGTGGGTGTAATTCAATAAAAAATAATAATAATAAAAAAAGAATCTTCGAATTCGGTTCACAAATGTCCTCCTCATTTTTTGAAGTCAGTTAAAAAAATAGATAAAAATAAATATGCTACTAGAGATATACAAGTACTTAAATAAATATGCTACTAGAGATATATAAGTAATTTACTCTTAGGCATCGACAAGTGAAAATTAAATATAATAAATAAATAAATATTAGACAACAACAAGTACGTTGCTGTGATCCCAAAGTAAGTAACTAAAGCATTTTTGTTATGGAAATCCAAAGCAACGACGATATTACAAACACCCAGACCCGAGACAAAACAGAAAACATAATTATTATTCTATATGACCCGGCCGAGGATCGAACCCGGTTACCTTAGAGATGGCGACACCATGAAAACCGATGAGCGAGGCCACTCGAGCACGGGGTCGTCAAGAAAACAGAAACAGAAATTTCTTGTTAGTGCTAGTAACAAATCATATTGTTTAAAATGTATGACATTATTAATACAAACAAAAATTCTTTCCACGAGATTCTGTCCCCTCGCTCTTTCCAACCGAGCTACAGGTCGAGTAAGCAAGTCAATGAAATTCTTCTGTCTGTTACAGATCTTTGAATTGAGTTTTTTCAGCATTCGACACCGTATATTATTATAAATTTACGTATATTAACACAAAATTTTAACATCGGGTTGTCAATTGACGACCTCAGCAGCCAATCGGTTTACTCCATCGACGTTGGATACGGAGGTCCCGGTAGAACCAAATTACAAACCAAGGAAAACGTTTCTAAATATGTTGTTCTCTCGGTGTTCTTTGTAGTTTATTCCGTTGATCTAGTACTCATAGTATAGGAATTTCCCTAGTTTTGGGCTGTTCATATTGTCGATAATTTGCGAGTCCTTTAGTCTACAGAGAGACGTTGGCTCTTTGTGTATAAACAAACTAAAAAGAAAGAAAAATAAAAGAAAAAACTTTTCAAACTGGTTTCACTGTCACATAAAGCCCATCCTCACATTCTTGATGTCTGCTATTCTGAGGGTCGTATTCTAGAACTCTACTCAATGCTCAATTCATGATTTGAGTATGGTTTAAAGCACTCGAAATCATACTCAAGTCCCTGCCATTAGGGTCGTATTTCCAGTGCTTGTGTTGCCAATGCAATCCTGACTTGAGCATTGAATAGAGTTCTAGAATACGACCCTAAGAGCACGTGAGCATCACTTTCGTTCCTTCCTCGAACCTGCAAGAAGATAAATGGTCCTTAAGTATTTCCTGCGTTCTATGACATAGAGTTCTTCACAAAGCGAATCAATTGGGTAGGACCCGAAGTGGTTCGTCTGGTCTTTAGCCTCCTACATTACATTAAAATAAAAAGTTGAGACCAGATTATTGGTGTGGTTATCTGGCGCATTGTGCTTATTAATTTGTTTCTTTTTTCAGGCTAAAACAATTAATACTCATAACAAACGAAACAGTAAAAGAAAACAAAATCCGCTGCTTTACAGATTCTGTAGGGTACTACCCTCATACAGTCAAAGTAAGATACGCTGGACATTACTATTCATACAACCTACAACCCTTAAACGATGGTTACTACTGGTGTGTCCATATTGACTCCAGAAACCACACGGTATCGGAGTCTAATAAAGCTCTCTTCATTCAAAGAGAAGACTTTTTAATCAATTCTTTCGCCGTAAAGTTGCGTTTCTCAAAATGCTATTTTGACATAGTCAATTTCTACAATGAACTTAAACAATATATTTACTATTGGAATAAATACGTTGAAAACAATTTTGATGATGTCAACAATCAGAATACCACTGAAGACGTTTTGAAGTTGTTCAAGGAGAAACATACTGCATTACACAGTTATTATGCAGATGTGATATCAAAGCATACGATAAAAAAGCTGTCTGTTGATAAGAAGAATATGTTGGTACATGTACGGTTACGTCGTGACATGAAGCCTGTGTTGCCTGGAACTTGGGCAAATTTGACCGTGGAGTTCATGAAACCGGTGTACTACTGCCCGGCCTTTGGTATGGTGGACAGTGCCCCAATTGGTGAGTTTTTTTTATTATAAATTGTTTATTTCACTAAAAAACATGTTAAAAAAGAATATGCAAAAAAGTTGAGTTACGGGTAACTAACTAACTGTGGTGACGAAAACAAGTAAATATATTGAATTTACAGGCACATGGGACTTTTCAACTTATGTCGCAAGATGAAGTGCCAGTGCCCCTCAGATGTTTGTGATTTAAAGCTCTGAAGGCACTACAATTGTTTTGGATAAGCGTGTCACATACCACCAGGTGTACGACTTGTTCATCTCATCACTTGGTATCATAGGAAAACAAAAGATTCCGTTCCGTTGTTTCAGGTACCTCAATAACTGTTAACGGTGAGACGCACACTTGCACCGGTGACTTCAACGAAGGCGTCCAGTGGGTGACGAAGAACTCTGCGAGCTGCATCACCACTGTAATGTCTACACCAACAACTGTTTTGTCCTCAGTGAATTGATTTAATTTATAATAACAAGGCAACACAGACTTAGCAATATCTTTTTTTTATGTAGGCCTTGAACTAATCTTGTCTTAGTTATTTGTACGACTATGCCTTGGTCATATGGTCACGGCTCTTAATAAAAAATAACTATTTCTCAAAATAGTAACTAACCACCAATGTATGCAGTTTGTTTGTTAGTTTAGACTCTAAGTTTGAATGTAAAAAAAAATAATAGAAAAATTTAACCCATAGTTTGGTTTAGTATAATAACGCAATTTTTAACTTTTTCTCATTTTCTCATTTAACTGCCTCCATGGCCAAACGGTTACCATGCCGGATTGCCACGCAGAGGTCCCAGGTTCGATTCCCGGGCCGGGAGAAATAGTTATAGGGCCTACAATTATTTCTCTCGTGAGTTTGGGTGTAATTTGTGGTTGTCTTTGTGTGTGTCCATGGCAGCCGCGACCCAGGCTTTCCCTAGTGCGGGGCTATTTTGAGTGTGTGCGTTATTTATTTATTTATTATTATTTAATTAATTGCAAATGTGAAATGTTATTCCAGCCAAAAAAACAGCTGCAGCATGTAATTAAGAACCTATCAGAATTGGTGAACAATACTGCTCCCGTGGTTATCAGCGATTTAAACCCTGCTTTTGACAAGGTAAAAAATAAGATACTTTTTTTTTTAAATATCTAACTTTAAAAACTGATCAAATGAAAAAAAAATCTTAAAAGCTTGCTTAAACATTCGTTTTCGGTGTGTTTTATTTTCATTGGATTATATTTAAAGATGGGGCAAGTTTTATTGAAATCGGTTAACGGAAAGTGGGTGAAATTCATTTAACCGGATTAATGCTTTTTCCTTCCCTAATTTTTTTTTCATGTTACACTATTACGACATTCTTGGACATTTTGTTGGAAAGGGGCTGCCGCACTAGAGCTCCCATTTTAATCACAAATTTGAACAAAATTATTCCTGCTCTAAAGGTGGAACATTTTCTTCAAATTTGTGACTTTCACCTCACAGTGGTTACTGGACTTTAAAGGTTCGGCATCAACATTAATGGCGAGTACATCACTCACCTTCGATTTGCTGACGATATTGTGGTCATGGCAGAATGCTCAGTGACTTCAATAGTTTCCTAACAGGACGATCTAAAAATGAACCCATGTCCATAAGACGAAACTTACGTCGAATGTCTATGTCGTACCCACCCCTATAACAGTGGGAAACGAGTATGTCTACCTCGGACAAACCGTCCAATTAGGCAGATCAAGAAAGCGGTCAATCGTCGAATCTGCTTCGAAAACTTCGGCAAACCTCGTCTTCTCGTCTCCAATACGCAGTCCTTCAAGGCAAAAGTCTTCGAGCAATACGTGTTGCCAGCGATGACCTACGGCTCTGAGACGGCATTTCTCTACGTGATCGAATCAGAAATGAGGAGATCGATAGAAGAACGGAAGTCACCGACATAGATGAAAGGATTAGTAAATTTAAGTGAAAAGAAAGATTCAGAGAGATTCTCGAAAGGAGAACACGAACCGGAATGACGCATTTATTCAACGAATCTCATCGCGCTCACTGCGTGCATCTAACTGACACTGGCCACATATGCCAGAACGTTTAATTGAAAACAAAAGACGATAAAGGTAATTCTTTTTTCAAATAAAACGTTTTGGTGTATGTGACCACTAGTTTAGATGAACATTATTTTAAATAAAATTAAGTGAAGATACGAAGAAGTCATGCGCCTAATGGTAAGCTACAAGCTTAGAATAATAACGCATAGAATGATAGTTTCATATCAAACGAACTGTCACAAGTGAGGCAAAAATCGAATTCATGTAGGCTAGTTTTAGCAGTAGGTTAATTTTCGGTTTTAGTGAATATTTATATAAAAATACGAGTTGAAACGCGTTACTTCCTCGTGGAATGTGATGTTAGTACTATTTTATGTTTGTCTGACGTATTTTTACACTCATTTACCGCACATTTCGTCATTTTTAGCTAAAATTCCTGATCTGTTCGCGGTGCAAGTTGACCTTGAGCACCGAAGGCCCACCCGCTCGTGTAGGCCCATTGGGCGCGCTTATATTTGCCTCACTTAGCGTGTGCGGACTAGGTTTCTATGCGTTATTATTCTAAGGTTGTAACTTAAATGAGCATCCCGGGCGCGCATGCGAGACTGGCTTGTCTTTGGTCTACGCGGCGATCGCGCGGTTGTATTGTTCAAAGGAATTTAAACGTTGTTGCCTACTAAATAGATATTCAGGTTCGCCCTTAATATGCGTGAAAGCATGGTAACTGGGCGGTCGTCGCGCGGCGGCCACGCAAAAACTTTCACGTTGTTTAACTGAACGCGAAAGCGTTCCGTGAGACGGCCTCCTACTAGATGGACGGATGACCTGGTGTTGACGGATGTCCGGCTAGTCTGGCAATCTTTGAGGGACGCTATGTTCAGCAGTGGGCGTCTTCCGGCTGATATGATGATGATGTTGATGAAGCGTGGCAAATTTGATGGATGAATCCGGTTTATTGGATTTCACCCACTTCTGTTAACCGACTTCAATAAAACTTGCCGCATAGATATAATTCCAATGAAAATAAAACACACCGTAAAGGGATAGACGAACTTTTGAGACCATTGACTTACAATTATATGGACGTCGGGTCCGCGCTAAAAAGTGTCCGAACTTATAGGGCGTTAAAATCGTATACAGAGCGTCATTCACGCTTTAGTCTTCGTTTGTTCGACTGACAGCGGAGCAAGCAAAATTAGACAGTACTGCGATGACATTACAATTTAAATTCAACGTTTTAGCCTTTTCATATTCCTTTACATGTCACTACGTTTAAATAGGTTGACTTGGGACATTTTTTTCGTGGTTTTTGTATTAGACCCGTCGTCCATTTATTTGTAAGTCAATGTTTGAGACCGTTATTTAAAAAATATAGTAGGTATTTTGCGTTCCATCTTTGTTAAATTAGGTAATTATGTTATTAATTTAATTCGCTTTAATATTGCATTGTTTGCTTACAGGTGGATTCACTTCTAAACACGAAGGAAAGTCTGGAGAACGCAGGACGTTTGCTAATTCTTCTAGATCAAGTAGGGGGCAAGGTTGACTTGAACGGATCACGACAGGTAATAATTTAAAGAAATCGAAAAAAAGAACTTGGTGGGGAAATATGAACTTTATAGATCCTTCGATGTATTGTGACTGTAAATCCATACGTCGTTGTCGTTCAAGAAAAGTGATACCGTGTTTGCCCTAGTCTCGTTCAATAAATATCAAAGGATATGGGAAGACATGTAACTATTTCTTCGGATCTAAATCGCTTATACTATTTGTTTTCAAACAGACCGACGTTTCGGATTCTTTACTCGTTCCATGTCATCCGCCATTTTCAATATCAATGGCTTCTATAATAAAATCCAATCATTCATGATCAAAACACACGTTTACACGTTTACGGCAAAATTGTCACCGTTCCTTCCCATTCTTTCTTTAATGGGCACAAATGTGACGCATTACATAATTAAATAAAATTTTTTCATTACATAAATAAAAAAATAAAAAGTAAATTAAAAGTAAGGTAGTTAAATGAATTATTTAAGTATCTAACTATAGTTCAGAATATATGGTATTCATTAATATTAGACATCTGGTTGATTATTAAGACATACCTTCACAGTCGTGGGATAAAACATCTCTTCTCTAATTAATTCTATTTGCATAAAAATACCATTGATTTTTAATAGATTGTATTAAGTTTCTCAAACAAATGTTGAACTTATTTCCAGGTGTCAATAGTCAGGAAAAATGTTGCAATCCTGCTGGCTGACTCCAGTGCAGAACAGCCTGTGAGGGGCTTGAAAATCGCAGCCATGGCAGGTGATGGAGTCCTCAATGATGGCCGTTTTGAGATTATATCAGGTATGTGCAGTTTCACATCCGACTCTGGATGGACATCGGATTCGAAGGATGATGTAAAGACTACAATGGACTGTAGTCACTAGTTTTGCGTTGAGTAGTGACAACTCTTTCTTACGAAATTCATTATTATGACAATTTTGAGGGGCAATACACTTCATGGGTATTTGGGGTTTCATAATTTAGTTGTCTTCATAATAAAAAAAAACAAGAATTGAACATAGGACTGATTGCGATATGCGAAAAATTCAAAGGGCTTAGAACACTTGTACGAGTTTTTTGTACAATGTGCGGGCTCGTTCCATATATCTAAATACTTTTACATGATTAAAAGGCGAGATTTAAGATTGAATGGGCTCATATTCAACTTACGATCAAGTAGTACGCCTTAATATTTGTCTGAAAAATTGAACTGTAATGATAAGGGAAAAAACAACCCTCGACAAATAAACCGTAGCTGAGATAGCAAATGTTATTCAAAATACCTATTGCTTTTTATTATTTCAAAGTCTCTAGAAGACTAGGGATACTGGTAGTGGCAATAACTCTTTAATATAGTGTACGCCATCGATACTATAAAAATAAGAAAAGTCTATAAAACGCTTTATTATTTATATTTAAAATGAATATTTCAAAGAAAATTCTTTTAGTAGATTCATAAATTCGTAACTCGTAAAGTACGCCAATATATAAACTATCTGGCCAATCGAGTTGGTAATAAGTTTGGCTAGCAGGTATGAAAACACTCCATGTTTAATGTAACTGTGATTGGCTAAGAAAGAATTTAGAAAGAAAAAAAGAAAGAAACATTTATTCGGCTATTACAAATAATAATAATAATATTAGCCTAAATTTAAATTAAAAAATAAAAAATATTACTAAGTACATAATTAATAGCCGAAAAGGCTAGCCAGCTCAGCTTAATGCTGGGCAGAGCCACAGCGCTGATTTTCAGCTGGAGCCTGAGAAGAGGTAGATGGCTATGCCTATTTAACAAAAACTAAAAAGAATAACAAGGATTTGATCCGTAACCTAAACATTTAAAATAACAATACCCAATTTATAATATAATTATTACAATATGCAGCGTGCTCTTAGACAGTATAAAATAACAAAATTAATAATAATAATAAGAATAATGTCCGAGTCATAACTATACTAAAATAAATTAACAACTAGCTTTAGTGATTGATGCCGTTCATTTGCCCTATTAGCGTAAACATTTTAATTCTTTTGCGAAAGCCAGATAAAGAAGCTTTCAAAAGGACCGCCACTAAATACAATATCATCATCTAAAAAGCTTCACCAAAAATATCCATTAATTCACAGACCAAATAAACTCGACACATCTGATGTCGAACAAGAGCGAGGCTGTGATCAATCTTCCTGAGTCGATAGCGAAAGGGCAACATCGCATCAGCTTCGTTGTGTTCAAAAACGACCGGGTCTTCCCGAGTACCCGCTTGATTACCGTCAACAGCCAGATTCTGAGTATCAAAGTGGGAAACGTTACGAAATTCCACCATGGAGAAGTAAGTATTAAGAATTATATTTAAATGAAAATTGATGTAAAATTAAAAATGCTTCCCCTGAGCACGCCTGTGTGATGCTGATCTCCTTCTTCGTCATCTCACATATTTATCATCTTCTTTTCTGATTTCAATACTCAATAGTCAATATATTTATTGCATTCATATGGTAAACATGTCTTAAATTTAAAATAATGCACACGAGCCCTTTATTAGGGATAACAATAACAGCAGAGGTAGGCCGAGGTTTCAATTACTAATTAAAATTGTTATTTATCAAATAATAATATTAAAAAAATGTCATATAATAATAAAGAAATGCGTCATATGATGAGTAGAATTATGTCACTTGAAAGTTTGAATTTAATTAGATTATAATTATAGATATATAATTATATAATTATATACTATAAAGTCATACCACTGTAGTGCTACTACAGTAGCATAACCCTACAGTATACAATTAACATTTATTTATTATTCAAATTTATTGTAATATTATTATTTTTATTTGTCATCAAAGTATTCATTTAAATTGTAATAGCATTTATTAATAAGATGTAATTTTAATTTATTTAGAAACAGTGAATATTTTTCCTCGCTTTTAGTTATTATAATATCCTCACCGACATCGAGTGGGGACTTGAGCTGTGTATGTGTAGCCGAGATGGTGGCAGAAGCAATCTATTGCGTGGTCTAAAAGTGTGTCATTGATTTCCGGCCGCTTATTTTTTAAATTTTGAATCGTTCTCGAATTCCCTTACCTTCACTATTCTTACGTTTGTTCTATCCATCGCCACTCTCATCAAAATTCTTGATGCACAAATCACCTTCATTTCCTTATTGTATGTAACAACGTCATATCCTTCACCGTCACCTTCACGTCGTCACCCTTTTTCCCTTTTCATCATCTCTTACAATAAATCTTGTTGAGCGAGCCTTCTGTTCTCTTTTATTTATAGCTAGGCTACACGTCTACAATCGCGGGAGTAAGCCGAATAGAATGGGCCTATGCCGCCCACACCAGATCACTACCGGCCGTCAGTTAAACATAACTACAATCTTTTTTTTTTATAAAAAATAAGTGCGCATTTGACCTCCATCTCACCTGATGGAAAGTGATGATGAAGTCGACGATATAGCACACCTAAATGATGTCTATTCACACTCGCCTTGAAAAGGGCCAAGTTATAGCGTTCGGGGAATAAGTCCGTAGATAAGGAATTCACGCTCTAGCCGCTCGCGATATAAATGTGGAAGCGAAACGCTTCGTTACGTTACTTGGGTAACTTTGAACACTTTTCTCAGGTGTTTACGACTATTAAAATAATAATGTATCCGCTCACGCGATGCGCTCCTCCTACCGCAAAATGGCGTCTATTTGGTTTCGCAAATTAGAAAAGCATTCAGTTTAAATACAAGTTTTTATAAATAAAAATTATTATTCTGCATTGCTCAATAAATACCCTCCGTACTACCAACAAAAACATCTCAAATAAAATGCACCGCAAATCCTGCACTTAAAAAGCACTAATGAAATTTTTGGTGTACTTGGATAAATATGATAATATTCCGTTTGAGTGTTTCTAACGTTTACCATGAAATTACTCCTTAAAGTATAGTTTATAAACATTTATATTCAGGGTAAATTTAAAAATTGCTACTTACGGTATGTTTTCAATAAATAAACACCGAAATCACCAGCCCAAACAATAACACACACGATTGTCGTGACGTATTTTCGAAGTTGTTTATTTTTTTTAAATGACAGACCCAGGCATTAAAAACTTTATGGTTTGCTAGAGTAGTTACCGAAATAGCAATTAATATTAGTTCTTTTACCTGTTATAACTTAGATATCCGATAAATCGGTATAAAATCATCACTGGCACCTCTAGGTGTGGTATGCGTTTACGGCTGCATGTATCGCGTGAGCGGGTATTTAACTGGCAATTCCAGAGATCAGCAGCTTGATTTTCATTGCCTCTCCCGATCGGAAACTGCGTCTCTTCCAAGTCGAGGCGCATAATAGCGATTCACAACTGGCCGATCGGAAACTGATGAGATTTCAAATCGGAACAATAGTTGATTTAGCTCACAAATTAGAAAGATATAGTAGGAATCAGGTTCATCTTCTCGCTACGAAACCCATCTGATTTCGAGACTCGGATGAGCTACCCGATCGGGTCGATTCCGATTAAAATCACAATCACCCTTAACGTAGGTACAAAAATCACTGTAATATAAGATCACAAGATAATGTAATACAAGATAATAATTCAGAAAAAGCTGTGGTAGTCTGGTTGACCTACCGCCTCTCAAGCAGAGGCTGTGGGTTCGTATCTGGGTTCGCACATGTGAGTTTCTCGGTATTTGTGTGCGAAATTTAATTTAGCTTTTCGATGAAGGAAAACATCGTGATGACACCTGCAAGTCGAAGAAAGTTCACAACCCTAGGAAAACGTGAGAAGTCCCCAGCCCGCATTATGCCAGGATGGCGGACTATGGCCTAAACCCTCGCCTGAAAGGAGGCCCGTACCCAACTGTGTGACGCATAAATGGGTTGATGATTCAGACAGACTTCAGACTTTAGAAATGCAATAAAAGTTAGTTATACAACTCACTCGCAAGCCATGGCACATTTCATCCATTTATCATTATAGCAGTTCTTCTAGCAATAAAACTTTTACATTCTATCCGGCTCTTATGAAAGAATTATGATAATGTAAATTAAACTAATTCAACATTCTTGTTATCTTTCAGGTAATAGACATCCATTTTAGTCCATTGCAAGAAAACCTTAAACACAACCAACGTCGCGCTTGTGCTTATTGGCAATTCTTTGAAAACGGTACGGGTGTTTGGTCCCGTGAAGGCTGCATATTCATCAAATCTGGAGAAGAAGGAGTCCTGGATACATGTAGATGTGTTCATCTTACACACTTTGCTCAAATCTTAATTTCAAAAGATCTTTTCTCTCAAAAACACGAATATTTGTTAGAAATACTATCCATAGTAGGATGTTGCTTATCAATTTTCGGCATATTAATGATTGGAACAACAGCTGCATTGTTCAAGTCCTGGAGGCAAGATTACAATAACAAAATATGGCTGCACCTATGCTTTGCTATCTTGCTACTAGTCATTTGTTTTCTGGTCATCGTGTTTGCAAAATTCGACCACTATAACATCCCTTGTATGTTGGTTGGAGTACTCTTACACTATTCTGTGCTGGCATCCTTCTGTTGGATGTTGGTAGCAGCTGTGTTGTCTTATCTGAGATTGGTTATAGTCTTTAGAAGAGGCGCCTCTCATAGACTGTTAAAATCTGCAGCTTTTGCCTGGGGAGTACCTTGCATCATAGTTGGAATTCTTCTTTCAGCCGCCCCTCACTCATATGCGGGACCTTTGGAAGAGAAGCATCCAAGTGGAGCTTTCTGCTATCCGTCAGGGCTCGGCCTTTGGTTGGCCGTATACGCCCCAGCTGTTCTAATACTACTTGCTAATTTGACGCTATACGGTGTAATAGTGAGATCTGTGAATTCATCTAAAAAGATCCAGAGGCATTGTAATTCAAAAGAAACTCTCAAATGTGTCTCCGTTAGTTGCCTACTAATATTTTTGTTTGGTTTACCTTGGATATTTGGGTTGTTCGCCCATAACATCGTTTTGGCGTATATTTTCACGTTAACAGCTACGTTCCAAGGCTTCATATTGTTCCTGTTCTTTATCGTAGGAAATAGGAAGACGCGAGAATTGTGGCTGAAAAAGTTGAAGACCAAGCAAACACCAAAGTTGTCCGCTGCGACCTCGACTTTTGGACTATAGAGTTAGTTACGCTAGACCAAAGTCAAAGATTCTCTTGATGAGGGTCGTCATGTCCCGTGCTAGCGTTTCAATATTTTTCTTTCCAGTCTGTCGGAATCGTGCCTCCATCCGACCTCCATCCTCCATCCTGTCGGTATTTCTTTGAAAGCTAAGTAAAAGCCGTGCGGCGTCGCGCTGCGCCGCCTGACGTTGCCAACTTGTGCCTCCAAAGGCGATACAAAAAGTAACTTAGATTCTCAACAATAAGGTATATTTCTCTTGTTTTAACTGCCTCGGTGGCCAAACGATTACCATGCCGGACTGCCACGCAGAGGTCACAGGTTCGATTCCCGGGCCGGGAGAAATAGTTGTATGGCCTATATTTGTTTCTCTCGTAAGTTTGGGTGTAATTTGTGGTTGTCTATGTGTGTGTCAATGGCACCCGCGACACAGGATTTCCCTAGTGCGTGGCTATGTTGAGTGTGTGCGTTATTTATTTATTTGAAAGGCATCAAAGATATCAGCTGATCGATCCCCGCCGGGATGCGTAGCGTGAACTTTGGAATAGCAATGCAATATAGAACTTCTTATCTACTAATTAAGCTAATATTTCTTCTCACGGGAATCTGCTTTGCGAATGGGTGGTCGTGTTTAAGTATTTTGGAGATTTTACATGCAATTAATATAATAGTCCAAATAAGATGACCTCGGTGGCCCAACTGTTTGCATTGTCGATACTGCATGAGAAGGTTCCGAGTTCAATTCCGTTAGAACCAATTTGAGAAATGAACTTTTCTAAGGTGTTTTTGGCCTAGGTGTTCTGGATAGTGCCGCGGAGTGAATTCCGTAGTCCTTGGTCCTAGGTTCGATTCCCGGTAGAACCAACGTTGAAAATGGAAAAAAATGGAAGTGCGACGAAGGGATGCTATTGACATCGCAACGTAGTAAAACGTTTTTAATTATATATTTATTGGTTTTTTTGTGAAATAGCTCCACTAGTTTTGTTATGATAAATACATTTGATCGAAAAGCGACATCTGCGTTAATTGTGGTACCTGTAAAGGTACAGTCATATATATAAGATACCTGACCCTAACATGTCCAAACCGACCTTTTGGTTCTGAAAGCCATCTTATGTATTGAACAAACAAACATTTAAAGCAATTTCAACTTTATTGCGTAAGCGATACATTGGAGTGTTGCTTGAAGATGATCAACATATTTTTAAAACCAATACTAAATGTCATTTAACGTCCAAGTAAATTGACTGTCTGGGAAACCCAAGGGTCGGCAGCTACCTTGACCAACGCATTAGCACAGCAATACAAAGAGGGAACGCTGCCAGAATCTTGGGCACCTTGCCGCGGGGACACATAGGATAATTTACCCGTAGCTCAGATGGTTAGAGCAATGACACGGTGCAGCAAGGTCGTAGGTTCGGGTCCAGCCGGTTCGACGAAATTTAAACCATTTTAAATTTTAAATATCATTATATCTTAAAACTAACCCACTGATGTAACTTTGTTGTAAATTCTCAGTTTTATGCTTAGTTACAAGGCTTTCCCGACACAAACATACATTTGCTTAAAGGGAGGACCTGATCTACCATTGTTGAACCAAATTGAGAAATAAATAAAAAAATTTAATTTAATTTTAAATAATCGTTTTTATTATAATTGCTATTTATTGTTGTATAAATATGTCATTTTAAAGAAAATTTGTTACAAGTTCGTCTTAAAGTCTGACCATATCCTACTTAAGTGAATGTTAATAATAACTATCAATTTATCTAATAATCAAACTGCTATAGTCTAGTTCGTAATTTCAATCCGAATGTTCATTATATTCTACTAATAACATACAATTATAATTACTTGTTTAGTCAATTTTTATTAAACAAAAAATACAAACAATATGTAATCTATATGTAGTCTATAAATACCGCAATTGTATTTTGCTATTACAATTACTTGTATTGTGACATTTTAATTTTGGGGTTACAATTACAATACGTCGAGTTTTCTCGTCACCTATACCACAAAATCTGAAAACAAAGGTTTTCAACCAGTGCGTCCTGCCTGTTATGACTTACGCAGCCGAGACTTGGACATTCATAAGCATATATGACAATAAGCAAGCTGAAGTGCCAGTGGGCTGGCCATATCAGTCGAAAAACCGATAACCGATTGGGAAAACGAGTTATAGAGTGGAGACCGCGACTCGGCAAACATAGAGTAGGACGCCATTCGGCAAGGTAGAGTGACGACCTGCGAAAGTTGCTGGCGGGAAATGGATGCGACAAGCTGAGGACCGGGCGAAATGGCGCACATTGTGGGAGGCCTATGTCCAGCAGTGGACTGCGATAGGCTGATGATGATGATGAGGATGAATTACAATAAATGCCACTATTGGCGATTTTTTGATGCCAAAACTTTTGTGGGTAACAAAAATAGAGTTGTGGTGCTTTTTTACACCAAAAATAGTTCAAAGTAAAACTATTTGTTTTATACCGGCTATCGAGTATATAACCAGAAATAGAGACGAAATAAGGGCCATATATTCCTGGTAACATATTAGCGAAACAGCTCTTATAAGTATCAACTCTCGTTTGCACTGAAACACAGACATGCCAACTAGACCTGTGTGTACGTCTCCGTATATTCCAAAAAATATTCTGTGTTTATTGTAATAAAGATAATATTTCTAACAATGTAGTGCTGTTCTATTCGGTGGTGTGGAAAAAACAGCAAAACATCTAATTACAAAACAAACTGAATCACATTTCATCGGTAATTAAATATTCAATATGTAATTTTGCAATTTTCGTTCATTATAGCAAAGCTCAAGTTAACTGGTCGATTTGAAGTGAAACAGTTGACGACACCCGTCAATTGTTTCGAAATCGGGCTGGCCAATCGGAGCGCGTTGTCACAGTAATGATATGGCAGAATAGTTTTCAAACAAATTAAATGACATTTCGTCTCTATTTCTGGTTATATACTCGATGATACCGGTTTTCCCCTGACCTGTAACAAACACTTAACTGGGCTTTAAACCAGGGTTCAAATTTAGTTTTTTTTTTATAATTAACATGATTATTTTCTGATCGTAATACAATAAATATCCGATAATTATCCATGCTGTATCCTTAGAATAATAACGCATAGAAACCTAGCCCGCACACGCTAAGTGAGGCAAATTGACGCGCGCCAAAAGGGCCTACACGAGCGGGCGGGCCTTCAGTGCTCAAGGTCAACTTGCACCGCGAACAGCTCCAGAATTTTAGCTAAAAATGACGAATGTGCGGTAAATGAGTGTAAAAATACGTCAGACAAACATAAAATAGATACAAACATCACATTCCACAAGGAACTAACGCGTTTCGACTTGTATTTTTATATAAATATTCACTAAAACCGAAAATTAACCTACTACTAAAACTAGCCTACATGAATTCGATTTTTGCCTCACTTGTGACAGTTCGTTTGATATGAAACTATCATTCTATGCGTTATTATTCTAAGGCTGTATCTTTAAGTTTTAACTGAAAATAAAACCACTTACTAAAATATAATTTAATCATGCACTTTTTACTTTTCGCGGATATTGTCGCGAATGGCTGTCACAGCAGGCTCTTGTACTTGGAATCTATTGATACTGTAAGCGTTAATTATTCTAAGTTTCCATGTTTTAAAATAAAATATCTTAATCACAATACTTATTTCAAGTCTTGATGTCCTAATAGTAGTTCATGTGACGTGTTACATAATTAAAGGCATTAAAATACGAGTGAGGGTTTATATTTATATTCATAAAAACATCTCACGAGTATTTTAATGCCTAATTATGTACAGTTACGTACACTGCTTTATCTACACACGTATTATAAGCTCTCTATGATGTGTCCAAGAACCGCATATTACGACTGGCGAAATGGCGGCAAATAAAAACTTTTCTGTCGCATGTCACGCAACCGTAGTTTTCATTTTTAATTCATATACAAACTAGAATCGGCCCCAATTATCATATCGTTCGATATCAAGTAACGTGTGAAATTTGTCAAAATTGTGTGCTATTGACATTGACTTACAAATAAATGGACGACGGGTCTAATACAAAAACCACAAAAAAAATGTCCCAAGTCAACCTATTCGAAATTTAAATTGTAATGTCATCGCAGTATCGCGCTGTCAATAGAACAAATGAAGACTAAAGCGGAGTGTCGCGCTCTGTATACGATTTTAGCGCCTTACAAGTGCGGACACTTTTTAGCGCGGACCCAACGTCCATATAATTGTAAGTCAATGGCTATTGACATTTCATTTCGATTATAACTTCATCTCGACTGATATTAGAATTGAGGTCCAATCAAATTGTTTTGTTTTTCAGAGATGTTCGAAATTTGAATAATAATAACATTTTCACAGATAAGAAATTTGCTCTAACAAAACAGTTTACCTTTATTCTGGTCGTAATTTGCGGTTTTTGAACAGATTATAGAGAGTTTATGATATGTGTGTAGATGAAATAAATATTTAATTACAATACTTCAATAAGGTTACGATAGAAGTGGCAGTGGGCTGGCCACATCTGTCGCAGAACCTATGAGTGATGGAGTAGACGGGCTCTCGAGTGGAGACCACGTCTCGGCAAACGTAACGTAAGACGTACCCCTGCAAGATGAACCGACGATCTGAAGAAGGTCGCGAGTAGTGGTTGGATGCGGAAAACGGGTGATCAGGCACTATGGCGTACACTTGGGGAGACTTATATCCAGCAGTGGACTGCAATAGGCTGATTGATTGATTGAACAAGGTTATGACAGAATAACAGAGGCCGTGGGTTCACCGCGACTCCTGAGTCATACGCCGTTTTGTCTTGTTAATTGACACAGTCTCTGATTTTGTTATAAAACGTATTACTGTTTTCGAGACAAATAAATAAGTTTATTATTATATTATGTAAAAAAGACGTCTATAATTATTTTTTTCTACTCCTTTACTTCAATCTGTCAATTATAATTTCATAAACCATGTCACAAAGGGTCTATATATGGTACTCGCCACTGAGTTGAACATTTTTATTGAAGTTCTGTACACAGAACTATAATGAGTAATATAGTACTGTATGCAGAACTACAATGAATTTCAAAAAAAGAACGTATTTTTCGTATTCGTATCGATCGTATTTTTGCTTAATTAACTATCAATTAGGACGCTGTTAAAATATATATAACTCTCTTTGGTTTAATTATTAATACAAAGATCGAACACTCAGAAAAAACACTCAGAAAAAATTCCTTCGATCCGTTCGGATTCGAACCGACGTCTTCTTGCATACCGTAGCAGACGCTATACCAACTAAGCCACGGAGCGAAC